GGCTAGTTTTTCTATTTTTAGTAGAGAAGGGGTCTGGCTCTTGCATAGGGTGGTCTTGAAGTCCTGAGCTCAAGCAATCCACCTGCCTCAGCCTCCGAGGGTGAGAGGATTATAGGCAGGAGCCACCATGCCTGGCAAAAGTCTTATAATTTAATATAAAAGGAAAATACCAAAACGATTATATATGTGTGGCTATATTAATCCAATATTTATATTTGTGGTTCATTTTAATGCCTAAAATGTTCATTAAAACACTATTAAAAATATGCATATGAATATGCATTATGACTCTTCTAAAGTTAGATACATTGTGGTTTATTATATCTCATCACAGATTAAATTAGAATCATGTATATAGTTAAATTATTATCTTTCACATTTCCCTATTAAAGTGAAACATGTTTTGAGACATTAATGCTTTCATATGCTAAATTTTAGTTTGCCTTAAATTTTTTTATAAATTTTTTAAACATAAGATGTTTGTAACAATATTTTCATAAGATATTTTTATAATAATATCTTAAATGTATCAAATCCACACACATAAAAATATCTCTTAGAATTAAATTCTCCAAAGCTAGCCAGCCATCCTCATCATGCTCCAGATTTATTTTTAAACCATAGTCAGAGGAAGCTATTTCAGAAGAGTTCATTGCAAAATATTAATAAACACAATAAAACACAGTACAGCACTTGGAATTTTTTATTAAATTTACTTCATCCTATTATTTATTATTTATATATTTTCTCCCATATTTTCTATCTATTGAAAAGTTAAAACCAATTTTTACTAATGTAGAGCTTTTAGAACTTACATTGCTATGAAGATCTTTATAATTTTTCTTCATATAGAGATCGAGATCTAGTCTATGTTTCAAATCTAAATTTCTGATGTTTAATATCATATCCAATTAGTTTGAACTCAAGATTTTAAATGTCAGTTTACATTTTACTTTAACATAGCTTTGCCAGTTTCTTATTCATATATGTGTTACAGACTATTTAGCTGCTATATTTGAACACTAACATGATCAGGCAAATGCCAGAAGTCAGATGGGAAAAAATATACACAATATAAGCTTTGAATTGTGTTAATCTGAGTAAAATAACTGGGTCTTTGGCATTAGAATAAGCATATTCAATAAAAACTATTCATGCAGTCAATGATTAATTCATTGAACATTTATTTATTAATTTTCAATTAAAGTAATGTGTTTCAAAGTAATAATTTCTAAACTTAAAATCACATTTTTTTCTAGCCAATAATTCCAGCGTTAAGGCTCTTCATGTAACAATGGAAGAGAATCACCAAATGGTGAGAATATTGATGAAAAATGAACTTTTTTTTTTTATTGTGTCAGGTGAAATAAGGGTACAAAGAATTGTGTTATACTGTTTGCATCTGTTAGGTAAAGTCCCCTCTTATAATTGTGTCCTGCCCACAAGAGGTGTGCCATACACTGTAACTTTTTGCCCTTTAAGTGGGAGTACACCCTTTACCCACCCTCCTCCCGTTTCCGGCTTCCTCATTCTCCTGTCCCCCCACCTTGAATTGATTTGAGCTGTTCTCTTACGTGGGTATTAAATCATCTATTGGCTTCAAATTAGAATTGAGTAGTAAAGTATCACAAGAATGAAGAAGCAAGAATCTAATGTACAGTGAACTTAATCTGTCCCAGAACCCCATTTGAGTTCCAAATCATTCAAGTTGCAAGATCATTTTTTCCCTTCAAAATAATGAAAACCAGATTTATCCCACAAACTTGAATTTTCAAAATGATTTTAACAGTAAATACATTGGATTTCATGGTAAAATATTAACAAATAATAATATTTGAATAAAAATGTAAATTAATAAAATTAAAAATATGAAAACCTAAAAATAAGAAGGCCTGTCTTGTCACAATTGAACACTTCATTCTAAACATACCTCTCACTGTTCACAGACCCCTTAGACTCCTTTACAAACTTTTCAGCTGCTTCCGAATTAGAACTGGCAGCCTCTCTGTGCCTAACAACACTATGGATCCCAGTCCTTTCCTTAAAGTTCTCCAACCACCCCCTATAGACTTTCAACTCCCCTTTTTGAGCGCAAGTATCAGGCATGCCTTTCACTAAATCATCCTGGAGGACCTTGGCTTTCTCACAAGTTGTCATCTCAGAAATCACATCACCAGACAGCTGTTTTTCATTCATTCAAACTAAGAGGAGTTTTTCCATCTCTTCTATACTTTTTGCTCTCCTTGAGGTCAGTGTCCTAACTCCCTTTGCCACATCAGCTGGGTTGAAAGCTTCTTTATTTTTCAGAATTGTACAATTGATTCAGGCACCCTGAACATAATGGCAAGATCAGCCACACATGTACCGCTTTCATGCTTGGCACAAGACCTTTCTTCACTTTGGTTGTAGCTCTAACACCTTTCCTCTTACTCTTATTTTGCTCACTACACTTTTTAGGACCCATGACGAATGCACTTAGTCATTATTATATTTTAAAAACCACAAAACAGGCACAGAAGCATAAAATTAGCAGCAAAAAGCACACGAGATGCTTTCACTACAGCTTCCACAATGATCTCAATGGCAATGCCTGTGGGTGGCCCCAGCGTTAGGGAAACACGGGCACAGAACCGCACACTGTGCTAGGAGTTCCAGATTCTAAAGCAGTGGTCAGATTTCAGGCACAATTTGCTCAAATTTTTGGTTCAGCTTCCAAATTGTTTGAGTTCTG